ACATTCAAAAACCTCCTATTCCAATTCCTGTTCCAAAAACAGTTAGATACCAGCTAACTATTAATACTATATATGTATTGTGTAGCAATTATATAATCATAATACTTGGTAAGAGATAGTACATGCATTTCCTACTATCGACGTAGGAATTTCAATACATACATTTTTTTTATATTCATTTATAATTCTCTGTTTATTTTTATATATATTCAAGTAAAGTTTTTTTTATGAAATGAACTCATTCTATCTCTTTTTCGTTCTTCATTTCTCAAAGTGTATGTTTATGTTGTTCAACCTTTATATATAGTTTTGTTCATAGTTCAAGTGATTCGTTCATAGTTTTAATTGTTTTGTTCATAGTTTTAAATGCTCTGTACATAGTTTTATCTGTATTGTATATAGCTTGTGCACCTAAGGTTTTGTTTACTTTTTATTTTATTTTATCAATTTTATTTTTTGTTTCAAACTTTTAGGCCAGTAATATTCTATTCTTTTGTACAATATTGTTATTCTAAAGGGACTTAGTCCCAGAATAAAGTTTGTTTTTCTATCTATCTATCTATCTATCTATCTATATGGTATGATACAAAATACACAAAACACAACTACCATAATTTACCTAGATGTGTGAATTGTGGCAAAAATACAAAAAAAATCGAAGACAGCAGAAAAGTTAGACAAGAGCCAGTGCACTGGATATGCACTATGCCACCAAGAGCACTCGGATAACTACAAGGGATGTAAAACATACAAGGCCTTAAAAGCAAGGATGATGATAATTCCCCGGTCTGAAGAGACATCTAGACCTCCTAGACCATCCAGACGTCCTCCAAGAATAGCGAATGAACATTTATCTTACTCCCAAACGCTAAGAGATGTAGAACAGCATCCACAACCTCAGGCCTTGCTGTTGTCATAACCCCACGAAATCCAACCTCAACCACCAACCTAAAACAACAATCACCACAAAATCTCCAGCATACCCCCTCCTAACAATGCCAATGACCTCATCAGCCTCATCACATCATTCCTCTCCGATTTCAGATCCCTCATCACTCCTCTTATTACCAACTTACAAAGGTTGCGTCAAATCTAATCTCATGCGCCATTTTCTATCAACCAACCTGCTACATCGTCTCCCACAAAGTGACTTAATTACCAGTTAATTAGTGAACTTTAGTGTAATAAAACAGTGACAATTGAACAGTTATCAATTCACTATTCAACTCAACATAAAAACAGTGAGTAATAGCTTATATATTAACATTAAGACTACAGCGTAAACAACGATATTTTTATAGGTAGAGGCCATAGTTAGCTATCATTGCCCCCACTCCCTTTAGATTCCTCAGGGCCTTCTAAGGGAGAACACGTGTACCTTGGTGGCGTCTACAAGTCTACGTAATTATTTACGTACTAAAAACTTTTTTTTTCTCTCTTCTCTCTTTCATTAATCATCCTACCGTCATAAGATGTGATTATCACATGATAATGTCTAGACATGACTGATCGCGTGACTCTGAAAAGATAAACATTAAGAAAATTATATAAAAGATAAACATTAGGAAGGTTACAGGAAAACAAACTAGTGTCAGCCATGTAACTCATAAAAAGTAAACATTAGGAATGTTAAACGGAAAAAACAAAATGGCGGAAAAAGGAAAAGGTGGAGGTAACATGATCAAAAATGGGCGTGCCCCTGTGACGACATACAAGGCATAAAACTAGTAAGTAATCGGAAACAATAAGGCGGGCGGTGTGCACCCTACCTCTTCGAGAGAAGTAGGGAGGAAATGTTGAGTTCGCATGATCGAAGAGGGAAATGGCCTCATGACGTCAAACAAGAGGTAAACCTCGTGTGTACCATAAAGCAAGATCACAGCAGGGCACACTCAACCTCTTAGAGAGAAGTGGGGCCAAAAGGTAGAGATTGCATGACCGAAAAAAGGCGTGGCAAATGTCACGTGAATAATCACGTGATCAAATATGGCTGCCAATTGGTGGTTAGAGTAGGGAAGGAGTAAAAAGGGGCGCAGTATTTTCATAAAAAGCGCCTCCCAAAACATAATAATCGACCTTGATACTGATTTAATCTTAATCCGGGGACGCTATATCTAAATGTTGAAGACCATTTTCAAAAACAGTGGCTCCAAAAATATATAAACAGTCCTAAATATCAAAGAAATCATTAAATCTATTCGAATCGTATTTTTACTTTCACTTACGTATATATGTTATATATAATAAGGGTAAGTATTGCGATCGTGAAAATTTTCGAATCTCAGTTTTCAACGGAAATACATGTTTTGAGGTCCCCTGAGTCCAAATAACCAAGTGTCGCAAAATGGTCTGTGTGTCTGTGTCTCTGTGTTAACAGTCTAGCTCATAAACGAAAAGTAGTACGAAACTGATATTAAGTATTTAAGGTTCGTATATGGGCCGGATGTGACAGCAACTGTTTTGTTAAAATCGGCTAACTGGAAGTGCCACTTTATATGAACGCTGAAACACATTTTTACAAGTTTTTAAAAAACGGCTCTAACGATTTTGATTAAACTCGGTGCATCATTGTATAATTAAGTGGTCTTTAATATCATTTAAGTCTTATCCCCGTTGATTTCACTTTACAGGGCTTAAATGCCCAATGTTCATATATGTATTCCTATAAAGTACCTTTAATATGGTTTATTCTAAAAAGTTAATCATTTCTCATTATTCAGAGTTACGAAAAAATGCTAAATATAACTTTTGAAAGAATCTGATAAGTTAATAAACGAGGAAAAAAATAAAAATGCAGAAAAACCTGCGTTATTATAGACTGTAGCTCCTGACCGAATGTACGGATTTCAATGAAACTTAGCTAAAATCATTTTCTCGACACCCTTGAAATTTATCTATATAACATACTTTAACGAAAAGAAGCTGGAAAAAAAGTTACGAGGTATGGTAAAATTAAATTCCGAATAACTCAAAAATTGTACGTTTTTGGGGGATATTGTATGTATTTTTTTAAAGTTAATGGAATTTCCTAAACAATAAAAAAAAAATCGTTAAAATCGGACAATCAGGAGGAAAGATATGGTCTCTAGTTTTTATCCCTGAAGAGGCGAAAATTTGGATAAACTTAAAATATACTTTTTTAATTGTTGAAACTAAAAAAAAACTTTTCTACCGATATTTAATAAATATCTTTCCTAAGAACATCTTTTATAAGAAATAAGTACCTAAATTTATACCTTTATTCTCAGTTCTATATTTCAACACTGCAATCACTACCTCTGGAATCAACTTACTCATTGTCTGCATAGATAACTTTTCCAACTAAAAATATCACTAAAATTACATCACTCAAAAATGTTGAAATTGGAGTTAGTCATTTTGTGGTTTATGAAAGCAAAGCAAATTGTGTGGTTTATAAAAGGAGATGGGGTGACTAGATTTTTATTGCCTGTCGTCGATATATTAAATAGAAATTTTATAATTATATTGGTCTTAATGACTTGTTATCTGTAAGCTTTAAGCTTTAGCTCGGTTTAAAATGAACTTCAAACAATTTTATAATAGCCCAGCATTGCCAGAAAATAATTTCTATACAAAGTAGATCGGTAAGTGAAAGTTGTGTGTTGCGCGCACCAGATTTTTATCTTTATTTTTATAATATATAATAGAAAATGCATTTTATTTGTAAATATTAATAACAAATAATTATCTGTCTAAAGGTCGTCGAATAAGAATAACAAATAAATATTTATCTATTATTTGTAATATTTTTTTTTTATTGAGATTTACAACTGTATTACATGAAAAATACAATAAGTAAATGTGACATTGGTAACATGACATGTACAACATGAATCGAAACTACCCATTGGTAGAACTCAAATTAAAATTCTATATTAGAAGGTCCAGAGGCCATCTTCTTTTCAAACGTCTCAGAGGATTATCAGGGATCGAGGAGGAAGCAAGGTTTGAAACGAGAGGATTCGGATGGTTCTGCAGTTTGTTATGAAAAGAAAGGTATCTGGATTGGGCCAAATCGGAAATATATGGAACATTAAGATCTTTATGGATGATTTTATTTGTGACAGAGTAAGGAGCGTTGAGGATATTTGTAATATAGATAAATCTTCAAATAATATATTCGAATAACGCCCAACACTGTGCCAGGAATTTAAATATATATACATTCTTACAGAGAATCATAGATTTATTTGGAAAAGACATACAAGAATAAATTATATTGCTAACGGCTATTGCAATTAATGAATTTTTACTTACTGTTTTTTTTGGTGGTCGCGGAATGAAATCGTTTACAGGTAGACACTTTTGGTTTTGTAGTGGTAGAAGAATTTGTAGGATGTGTTTTACCATTTTTGGAAAAGAATCCAAAAAAATGTCGAGGTTGTTTTCCTGAAATTATGTTAGATATGTATAATCTCGAAAAAGATTTATACTTAAATAAAAATCATATAATATTATATATGTAATAAAGAGCAGTTGGATAAATCAGTCTAGATCTCTAAATCCTGGTCTTTCTTGGACAGTAGGAAGAATAGGACCCAAATGTCTTTCCCTGAAGCCTTGCGTACATGAGCTTGGCCAACGGGTTGGATTTTGAGTAAGTAGAACTCATTAGAGTTATTTACCATCTTTTATTAAGTGTGGAAAGTTGTATAAACAATTTATGTCCAACGGACACGATTATATATAGTTGTTTGGCATATTAGCAATTTTTTGGCGTACGTAAAGGAGGAAATTGTCTGGTAGGATATCAGGATTTTCGTAAAAATCTTCTTTTCCAGTTCTTATACATTCATATTTCGCCTATTGATTCGTTTTTTAGAAAATATATCTTATATCAATTCTTGTGCTTTCGTTACGTATTTGGGGTGCTAGGGTATTAAATATGTATGTATTCTTAAAGAGAATCATAGTTTCATTTGGAAAAGACCTATAAGAATAAATTATATTGTTTAATGGCTATTGCAATTAGTGAATTTTTACTTACTACTTTCTTTGGTTGTCACGGAATAACATCGTTTACAGGTAGATGCTTTTGGTTTTGTTGTGGTAGAAGAATTTGTAGGATGAGTTTTACCATTTTTGGACAAGAGTCCAAAAAAATGTCGATGTTGTTTTCCTGAAATTATGTTAGATATGTATAATCTAGAAAACGATTTATACTTAATTGAAAATAATATAATATTATATAAGTAATAAAGGACAGTTGGATAAGTCAGTCTCGATCCCTAGATCGTAGTCATTCATGGACATCAGGAAGAATTGGATCCAAATATCTTTCCCTGAAGCCTTGCGTACATGAACTTGATCTACGGGTTGGATATTGCATAAGTAGAACTCTTCAGAGTTATTTACCTTTTTTTTATTAAATATGGAAAGTTGCCTAAACAATTTATGTCGAACAGACATGATTATATATATATTTGTTTGGCATATTAGCAATTTTTTGGCGTACGTAAAGGAGGAAATTGTCTGGTAGGTTATTAGGATTTTTGTAAAAATCTTCTTTTCCAGTTCTTATACATTCGTATTTCCCCTATTGATTCGTTTTTTAAAAAATATAACTTATATCAATTCTTGTGCTTCCGTTACGTATTTGGGGTGCTAGGGTATTAAATATGTATGTATTCTTAAAGAGAATCATAGTTTCATTTGGAAAAGACCCATAAGAATAAATTATATTGTTTAACGGCTATTGCAATTAGTGAATTTTTACTTACTACTTATTTTAGTCGTCACGGAATAACATCGTTTACAGGTAGATACTTTTGGTTTTGTTGTGGTAGAAGAATTTGTAGGATGTGTTTTACCATTTTCGGACAAGTGTCCAAAAAAATGTCGATGTTGTTTTCCTGAAATTATGTTAGATATGTATAATCTCGAAAAAGATTTATACTTAATTAAAAATAATATAATATTGTATAAGTAATAAAGAGCAGTTAGATAAATCAGTCTAGATCCCTAAATCCTGGTCTTTCTTGGACAGTATTAAGAATAGGATCCAAATGTCTTTCCCTGAAGCCTTGCGTACATGAGCTTGACCTACAAGTTGGTTTTGCCTAAGTAGAACTCATTAGAGTTATTTACCTTTTTTTATTAAGCGTGGAAAGTTGTATAAACAATTTATGTCCAACGGACACGATTATATATATTTGTTTGGCATATTAGCAATTTTTTGGCGTACGTAAAGGAGGAAATTGTCTGGTAGGTTATTAGGATTTTTGTAAAAATCTTCTTTTCCAGTTCTTATACATTCGTATTTCCCCTATTGATTCGTTTTTTTTTTAAATATATTTTTTTTTTATTTATTTTTTATTAAACGCCCTGCCGTTGGCTATTAGGCCATTCGGCTTCTGGCAGCCCAGTACAATTCCGCCATGAATCGTTTGTTTACATTTGTTCCGATCCCATCAGAAGTACTGCGGACATCTGACAGAGCGGGGCAAACTGGGAGGTGCAGGTCGTACATCTCGTCCTGTTGGCAAAGAGGGCACAAAGGACTTTCCACCACTCCGATCCTATGTAAATGCCTTTGCAGGTAATCGTGCTCTGTTGCCATGCGGAAGTTTGCCACCGATTCTTTCCTATTTCTGGTTTGTTTTATCGGCTCCTCTGTTAAACATTCCCATTTTTTCCCCGCTGCCTGTCGCTTTTGCCAAATTTTATTCTCTTCCTTGTAAAATGATTTTAAAATCCTTTTAACAGATTCGTAGGGCAGCGGGGGATGAGTTTGTGGCATTTCCGAGGCGATCCGTGCGAGCTCATCAGCTTTTTCGTTTCCTGGTAGCCCGCAATGGCTTGGAACCCATTGGAAAGCCACTCGGATTCCTTTTTTAATTAAGTCATTAATCCGATTTCTGGCACTAGTGATATCAGGATGGTCCAGGCCATTGCAGATCGACAGTAAGACTGCTTGTGAATCGACAATGATCACAACTTGGGAAAAGGTGAGTTCTTTTTCTATTGCAGTCAATGCTGCCGAAATGGCTTTGACTTCTCCATCAAAGTTTGTTCCCCGGCTACCAGCAGGGATGGATAACATGAAATCTTGGCAGTATACTCCTGCTCCTGCATTCCGCGTAGCTGCTTGAGCGGAGCCGTCGGTGTATAAGTGGAGCCAGTTCTGCTCGGAGTAGCGGCTATTTATTGTTTCCAAAGCAAGAGCTTTCAATTCCCACTCAGGTGTTTGGTGTTTTCTTACTGGTTGTGTTAGATCTAGCCGTGCCTCTGCAATAAATCTTTGATGGTCACTGCATTTATTAAATGGCAGACTCATGCCTAGATCTAGGTGATTTCTTTCCAGTAGTTCTATAACTTTTACTCTTAGTGGTTTTTGCGTCTTTAGGCGCTGGACAGATGTTTCTTGAGCAGCCCAGTACTTCAAACCTAGCATTCTCTCTGTAAGGCAGATTGCTGCTACTTCTCTCCTTGTTTGAAGTGGTTCTATTCCCGTTTGTAGCTGGAGTGCTGCAATTGGTGTGGATTTCGCAGGCCCTGTAATCAGTCTCAAAGCCTTGTTTTGCACCACATCCAAGGCAAGTGAGTTTTCTGATGCAGTCAATAATATCTCACCACCATATTCCATTACTGGTCTAATGTATGACTTGTATGCCAGGGTTAGTAATTCTTCGTGAGCGCCCCATTTCTTATACATTCGTATTTCGCCTATTGATTCGTTTTTTTTTTTAAATATATCTTATATCAATTCTTGTGCTTTCGTTACGTATTTGGGGTGCTAGGGTATTAAATATGTATGTATTCTTAAAGAGAATCATAGTTTCATTTGGAAAAGACCCATAAGAATAAATTATATTGTTTAACGGCTATTGCAATTAATGAATTTTTACTTACTGTTTTTTTTGGTGGTCGCGGAATGAAATCGTTTACAGGTAGACACTTTTGGTTTTGTAGTGGTAGAAGAATTTGTAGGATGTGTTTTACCATTTTTGGAAAAGAATCCAAAAAAATGTCGAGGTTGTTTTCCTGAAATTATGTTAGATATGTATAATCTCGAAAAAGATTTATACTTAAATAAAAATCATATAATATTATATATGTAATAAAGAGCAGTTGGATAAATCAGTCTAGATCTCTAAATCCTGGTCTTTCTTGGACAGTAGGAAGAATAGGACCCAAATGTCTTTCCCTGAAGCCTTGCGTACATGAGCTTGGCCAACGGGTTGGATTTTGAGTAAGTAGAACTCATTAGAGTTATTTACCATCTTTTATTAAGTGTGGAAAGTTGTATAAACAATTTATGTCCAACGGACACGATTATATATAGTTGTTTGGCATATTAGCAATTTTTTGGCGTACGTAAAGGAGGAAATTGTCTGGTAGGATATCAGGATTTTCGTAAAAATCTTCTTTTCCAGTTCTTATACATTCGTATTTCGCCTATTGATTCGTTTTTTAGAAAATATATCTTATATCAATTCTTGTGCTTTCGTTACGTATTTGGGGTGCTAGGGTATTAAATATGTATGTATTCTTAAAGAGAATCATAGTTTCATTTGGAAAAGACCTATAAGAATAAATTATATTGTTTAATGGATATTGCAATTAGTGAATTTTTACTTACTACTTTCTTTGGTTGTCACGGAATAACATCGTTTACAGGTAGATGCTTTTGGTTTTCTTGTGGTAGAAAAATTTGTAGGATGAGTTTTACCATTTTTGGACAAGAGTCCAAAAAAATGTCGATGTTGTTTTCCTGAAATTATGTTAGATATGTATAATCTCAAAAAAGATTTATACTTAATTAAAAATAATATAATATTATATAAGTAATAAAGAGCAGTTGAATAAATCAGTCTAGATCCCAAAATCCTCGTCTTTCTTGGACAGTAGGAAGAATAGGATCCAAATGTCTTTCCCTGAAGCCTTGCGTACATGAGCTTGAACTAAGGGTTGGATTTTGCCTAAGTAGAACTCATTAGAGTTATTTACCTTTATTTATTAAGTGTAGAAAGTTGTATAAACAATTTATGTCCAACGGACACGATTATATATATTTGTTTGGCATATTAGTAATTTTTTGGCGTACGTTTTTTTTTTTATTTTATTTTTTTAATTTTAGTTTTTTATTGATAAATATTACAATCTGTCTCAATAAAGGACATTTTTAATAGAGTTCTGAGAGCACATTCACACCATATTTACAAATTAAAAAAATAAATAAATAAAAAAAATAAGCTAACTTCAAATAATATAAAGCTACAAAAGAAACAAAATAAAATATCATAGTGAGAAAAGAAAAAAAAAAAAAGTAATGAAAATAAACATCTTAGACGCAGGCATACCTATTACACTATTTACAGTCGGCCATAGGAACTCCGAACCATACTTATCCCCCCACATGTGGAGGGAAAGCAAGGCTTCAGGAGATCCCTGCGCTTCTTCCTCAACCATTTCACTGGCATTGAAAGCCAGCGGAGATTGAGTAAGGGCGCTACAACCACGGACACTCATGGCTTGAGTGGAGAATCTGGCCATTGCCAGAACTCCAGTATATACATGTTACAAAAGGTCACGGGCCACTGCCGTTTCAGCCTGCGAGGAGTATTGTAGGGATGAGTGGTGCTAGATAGGGATTGTGCAAGAGGATTTAGATGATACGTAAGGTTCTGGTGAAATTTGGGGAATTTTTCTGGGATAAGATCAAGAATAAATGGAATATTAAGGTCATTGTGCAGGGTTTTATTAGAGACATAGAAGGGAGCATCGACTATTGTACGGAGGTCTTTGGACTGGAAGGATTGAATGCGTTTGATGTTAGAAAATTTGGTTGTCCCCCACAGTTCTAGTCCGTAGGTCCACATGGGTTTTAATATTGTCTTGTAGATCAGTAGTTTGTTTTCAATAGAAAGTTTACATTTTCTATTAAGTAGTCTATATAGCTGGCCATAACGTCGGTTAAGTTCCTGTCTTTTCAGTCTAGTATGCGGATTCCACGTTAGTCGTTCTGTCTAGGAGAAAACCAAGGTACCAGTTCTTCTGTGTCGCAGAAGGGAAGCTGGATGGTATTAAAGTAAACTGGTGGACAGGAATTACGACGAAGGGTGAAGGTTATAGGTTTACATTTGGATTCATTGACTTTGATGCGCCATTTCTTGCACCAGTGTTCAATCAAGGATAGGTGCCGTTGCAGGTTTCTGGACGCTATTTCAGGATCTGAGTTAGAAGATAGGATCGCAGTGTCATCAGCGAAAGTTGCCTGGAGTGTATCGGGATGGACGGGAATGTCAGCGGTATAGATGATGTAAAGGATGGGACCCAAGACGCTGCCTTGAGGAACTCCAGCCTCAATTGAATAACAGTCGGAAAATTCTGTACCACAGCGAACTCGAAAGGAGCGGTCGGAGAGGTAGGATTGGAGTATTAGGTATAAGGACTGTGGTAGATGGGATTTGAGCTTGAAGAGCAGTCCGGCGTGCCACATCCAGTCAAAAGCTTGCGCTATGTCCAGAAATGCACTCGAGCAAAACTGCTTGTTTTCAAGGGCTCTGGATATGTGGTCAACAACTCGGAGTCCTTGTTGGACGGTAGAATGTTGGGAACGGAATCCGAATTGATGGGTAGGGATTTTACGGGAGTCTATTAGGGGTAGGATTCTTTTCAGGAGGATCTTTTCAACAATTTTTGAAAGAATTGGGAGTAGGCTAATTGGTCTATAGGATGATGTATTATTGGGGGGCTTGCCTGGTTTCAGGAAAATGATGATGGTGGAATGTTTCCATGGGAGAGGGAAGTGGGTAGTTCGGAGGATACAATTGTATATATAGGCTAGAAATATGATGGCTTTGGATGGTAGTTGTCGTAGGATCTGCGGGGTTAGAAGGTCGTATCCAGGAGATTTACGAGGAGTGATTTTGCGTAATAAGTATTTGACCTCAGAGTGATTAACTTCTTTAGGTGGTAAGGAGAGTGGGATAGGTGAAGAAAGGAATTCTTCTACTTTTACTGTGTGGGTAGGATGAGATTCCGGATGAGGACGAAAGTATAGGAAAGGTGTTTGGCAAACTCCTCGGCTCTATCTTCATCAGATGCTGCCCAGGAGCCATCACCTCGTCGAAGAGGGTGGGAAATATGATGGGATTTGAGGATTTTTCTGGTGATATTCCAAAGGGAATTATCATGAGCAGAGAGTGTGGTGAGGTAGGAATTGAATGATTGGGATCTGAAGGTGGCTAATTCTTGTTTTAATTTTCTACAGTGATAATTGTAGGAGTGGCGGTCGGCTGGATGTCTGGTACGTTGCCATAATAATCTGGCACGGCGTTTTATGTGGATTAGGTCTAGGAGGTATTGAGGTAAATTATGTTTCTTAAGGATTTTTGAGGAGTGATCAGGGGAGGTTGCAGTCCAGACTGCTTCTTGAATTTTGGTAGTGAAGGAATGTACTGCATTGTCCAGGTCTTCAGGGGTTTTCAGGGTTACTCTGAGGTCAATTTTATCGGAGAGGATTTGATGAAAGCGTTTCCAGTTAACTGGGCCTCTGATGAAGGATGGTGGAGAGGGTTTAGGAATAGGAGCTTGTGATACTTGGAATAATAATGGACTGTGGTCTGAGGAAAGTTTGAATTGGATGAATTGGTTTCCTAAGGAATTTAGGAGAGAGGTGAAGTGGACATTGGATATGGATCGGTTAGGAGGGCAATATGCTGATGCAATGGTGACAGGAAAGGAAAAGGTTTTGATTATAACTGCAGTGGATTGTAGGAAATCGTGATGAGGCAATGGGATTATGTGATGAGAGAGGGAGTGATGTACGATGACAGCAGTACCGGCATGTGCTCTACCATCAGGATGGTCTGTCCGATACGTTAAGTATTGTGGTATTTTCAAAAGCTGTTTTTTGGTCAGTCGAGTTTCTGTAATTAGGGCTACATCAATGTTCTTGTCTAATAGTAAGGCTGTTAGTTCGTCTGTGTGATTTCTAACACCATTCGCATTCCATATGAGAATGGATATGGGTTTGATGAAAGTCATTTAATTATTTTTTAAAGGAGGAATGAGATGAGATACCAGGTTTGTAAGAAGTGATATCAGTGGGGTGACAAGAGATTTAAATTCGGTAAGGAAGGATGTCAATAAACTAGTAAGATCTGTAGCATTAGGCTGTGGAGGAACATATTGGATTTGATGTTGATGAGGTTGTTGTTGATTAGGTACATTAGGAGGGATATGATATTGAGGTAGGGATTGAGTTGGTTGTACCGGCAGGGTCTCACATTCATTAGTCGGGTCTCTACCTCCGAATAACTTAGCAAAGGAAACTTTAGAGTCCACGATTTTAGCAGATCCTCTTCTTTGTTTAGGTGTAGCATCGTGGTTCCGGGCTTGTATCTAGCTTTGAGGTTTTTATAGATTTCACAACCTTTATAGTTGGCCGGATGACCCGCCAAGCATAGGGCGCAGACTGCAGGGTCTTTAATTGGTTTGGTACATTCTCCAGATTTGTGTGATTCGCCGCACCTCACGCAGCGCGGCATGTGGTGGCAATATGACTTGGCCGTATGCTTGACAATTGTGGCACTGGACGATTTCTTTTTCGGATATGGTTTTTCAACCTTTACGATTGTGTAGTATAATCGATGTATGTCGTATATTTTTTCCACCCCTGGTGTTGGCTCCACAAAAAATAAGGGCAGTGGAATTTTAGTTTTTACTCCTGGTTGGTCTCTATTTTCTTTCAGAACGTTTGTTATTTGGCGAACATTGAACCCTAACGCAGTTAGCTCATCCTTGATAACCTCAGTTGGGATTGAGGAGTGTAAGTTTCTTATCACTACTCTTAATGATCTGTCGTCCCTCAGCTGGTATGTGTGAAAATCCGCACCTGTTTCGGTCAAATACTTGATTATTTTTCGATAGGCTTCAGGTGTGGCCGGTGTTATTTTTGTGTCGCTAGTCCTGTTAAGGCATGAAAAGCTATCAGGACAGATTGTATTTAATTGGGTGCATAATAATTGAAAATTTCTGATATTTTTGATAAAGATCGGAGGAGGCCGTGGTTCTCTAGGTATCGGTGCAGAATCCATCTCATCTCTGTCATTTTGAGGCACCTGGTATGGATTGGGTGTAAAAAATGGAGATTCAGAGACCATTTGTTGTGAAGAGGTACCTGCTTGCGGTTGTGGTGTGGAATCTTGAATTTTCGCTGGAGGAGTTCCGGGGGGTGTCGATCGCTTACTGCGACGAGTTTTTTGTTTAGGTGGTGAGTTACGAGGGGTGGAGCCAGCAGAACAAGACCTCTTAGTGGACATCACTTGATGAAAATATCGCATCTAAAAAAAAAAAAAAAAAAAAAAAAAAAAAAAAAAAAAAAAAAAAAAAAAAAAAAAAAAAAGGAAAATAAAACTTCGTCTGCGTGTCATTGAACTCGGGGAAACGACGAGCACAGCTCCGTCCGTCTTCATCCGTGGCAGATCCACGACTGCTAGTGGGCAGTATCAGACGTAGCTATGACAGATAAGGCTAGCGATAAAGCACCTCGGACACTGGTTTCACTGTCTATAGAATACACAGTAAATATCAACACTACTCACTGTGGTATTAGTCCATTGTTGTTGCTGGTGCGTTTATCTCGGCGTTAATAGTTTTTGAGTAAAAAGAGTAATCTTTTTCCACTTAAAAAAAAGAGAAACTGTGAGAGACGATGTAAAAACGTGGCAATCAAATCAAGCGCATGCGCAGAACTTTTGGCGTACGTAAAGGAGGAAATTGTCTGGTAGGTTATTAGGATTTTTGTAAAAATCATCTTTTCCAGTTCTTATACATTTGTATTTCGCCTATTGATTCGTTTTTTAAAAAGTATATCTTATATCAATTCTTGTGCTTTCGTTACGTATTTGGGGTGCTAGCGTATTGAATATACATGTATTCTTAAAGAGAATCATATTTTTATTTGGAAAAGACCCATAAGAATAAATTATATTGTTTACGGCTATTGCAATTAGTGAATTTTTACTTACTACTTTTCTTGGTCGTCACGGAATAACATCGTTTACAGGTAGATACTTTTGGTTTTGTTGTAGTAGAAGAATTTGTAGGATGTGTTTTACCATTTTTGGACAAGAGTCCAAAAAAATGTCGATGTTGTTTTCCTGAAATTATGATAGATATGTATAATCTCGAAAACATTTTATACTTAAATGAAAATAATATAATATTATATAAGTAATAAAAAGCAGTTGGATAAATCAGTCCAGATCCCTAAATTTTGGTGTTTCTTCTACAGCAGGAAGAATAGGATCCAAATATCTTTCCCTGAAGCCTTGCGTACATGAGCTTGACCTACGGGTTAGATGCTCCCCAAGTAGAACTCATTACAGTTATTTACCTTTTATTTATTTATGGTGGGAAGTTATCTGAACAATTTATGTCCAACGGACACGGTTATATATGTATTGTTTTGCCATATTAGCAAAGTTTTGGCGTCCGTAAAGGAGGAAATTGTCTGGTAGGTTATTAGGATTATTGTAAAAATCTTCTTTTCTAGTTCTTATACATTCGTATTTCGCCTATTGATTCGTTTTTTAAAAAGTATATCTTATATCAATTCTTGTGCTTTCGTTATGTATTTGGGGTGCTAGCGTATTGAATATATATGTATTCTTAAAGAAAATCATAGTTTCATTTGGAAAAGACCCATAAGAATAAATTATATTGTTTACGGCTATTGCAATTAGTGAATTTTTACTTACTACTTTTCTTGGTCGTCACGGAATAACATCGTTTACAGGTAGATAATTTTGGTTTTGTTGTAGTAGAAGAATTTGTAGGATGTGTTTTACCATTTTTGGACAAAAATCCAAAAAAATTTCGATGTTGTTTTCCTGAAATTATGTTAGATATGTATAATCTCGAAAACATTTTATACTTAATTGAAAATAATATAATATTATATAAGTAATAAAGAGCAGTTGGATAAATCAGTCCAGATCCCTAAATTCTGGTCTTTCTTCGACAGCAGGAAGAATTGGATCCAAATATTTTTCCCTGAAGCCTTGCGTACATGAGCTTGACCTTCGGGTTAGATGTTCCCCAAGTAGAACTCATTACAGTTATTTACCTTTTCTTTATTAATTGTAGGAAGTTATCTGAACAATTTATGTCCAACGGACACGATTATATATGTATTGTTTTGCCATATTAGCAATGTTTTGGCGTCCGTAAATTAGGAAATTGTCTAGCAGGTTATTAGGATTAGGGATATTGTAAAAATCTTCTATTTCCGGGCTTATACATTTGTATTTCGCCTATTGATTCGTTTTTTTCTTCTTTTTTTTTTCTAAAAAAATAGATCTTATATCAATTCTATCAAATACCAAAGATCTCACCAGTTTACTTACATCTTTCCCTCTCCGAATTCAGATCTCTCGTTACTCCTTTGACATACCTTCTCTCGAATATTGTATCACATTTTATCGCTCCCCCCAAAAACCCTTAAATGACTTCCAATAAACCTATATCCATTCTCCTTTGGAATGCGAATGGTGTTAGAAATCATACAGAGGAACTATCTGCTTTATTACTTCACAAAAACATTGGCATGGCACTAATTACAGAAACTCGACTAACCACTAAACAGCTTTTCAAAATACCACAATACTTGACATATCGTACTGACCATCCTGACGGTAAGGCACATGCCGGTACTGTTATCCTTGTACACCAATCCCTTCCTCCATCACCTACTCCTATTACCTACCCTAGATTTCCGTCAATCCACCGCTATCGTAATCAAAACCTCCTTCCAAAAGCTTACGGCCCACCTAACGGATCCAGGTCCAATGTCCACTTCAGTTCTCTCCTCGACTCCTTAGGAAATCACTTCATCTTGGGTGCAGACTTAAATGCCGAAAACCAAGAATGGTGTTCAAGAACCACGAATTCTCGTGGCCGAACATTGCTGTATGCACTCAATACCCAACGTTTTCATCTCATTTCCCCCAACTCTCCTACCTACTTGTCCACAGACCCTAACTGTAATTCTAATATCATTGATTTCTTTATCCACAGCGTCTTAGGTCCCCTCCATTGTTCCATTACACTCCTAAACAAACTTTCCTTGACCATAGTCCACTAATTCTCAATGTTTAACTAGAACCCGTCCCCAAACCTTCTCCACCGTCATTCATTAGAGGCGATATTAACTGGAACCTATTCCTCCAAATTCTTTCCGACAAAATAGATTTTAATATATCTCTTAAATCTTCAGACGACCTTCCAATACTCCGATGCTGCCAATTTCTTTACTACCTCAATCCAACAAGCCACCTGGATTGCCTCCTGCTCAAGTAACTCCCCGAGAAATCCTAAGCAAAACAACTTATCTCAATACCTTACGAATTGCTTCGTAAGATTTGTAATTGGAACCCCGAGACGCTCCCGTGTCTCCCACCACTACACTGAGTTAGGGTGGCTCTTCCCCTCCTTAAGAAGACAATATTTCCTTGGCACTTTCCTTTATCAAATCATTACCGATCATCGTCCTTCTTATGCCTACAACCTTCTCCAATTTAAGTCCTCAATCCATTCACTCACTACAAGATCCCGACACTCTGACCTATACATCGCTTCTCATAGATCCGCCTCATTCCAAAATTCCTTTATAGCCCGCTCTGTCAACTTTTGGAATTCCATCCCGATCAAAATTCGACATGCCCCTTCCCTGTACACATTCAAAAACCTCCTATTCCAATTCCTGTTCCAAAAACAGTCAGATACCAGCTAACTATTAACATTATATATGTATTGTGTAGCAATCATATAATCATAACACTTGGTAAGAGATAGTACATGCATTTCCTACTATCGACGTAGGAATTTCAATACATACATTTTTTTGTATTTTTTTTTTATTCAATTATAAGTAACTGTTTATTTTTATATATATATTCAAGTAAAGTTTTTTTTTTTTTTTTTTTTTTTTTTTTTTTTTTTTTTTTTTTTTTTTTTTTTTTTTTTTTTTTTTTTTTTTTTTTTATGAAATGAACTCATTGTAGCTCTTTTTCGTTCTTCATTTCTCAAAGTGTATGTTTATGTTGTTCAACCCTTAAATATAATTTTGTTCATAGTTCAAGTGATTCGTTCATAGTTTTAATTGTTTTGTTCATAATTTTAAATGCTCTGTACATAGTTTTATCTGTATTGTATATAGCTTGTGCACCTAAGGTTTTCTTTACTTTTTATTTTATTTTATCAATTTTTTTTATTGTTTCAACGTTCAGGCCAGTAATATTCTATTATTTTGTACATTATTGTTATTCTGAAGGGACTTAGTCCCAGAATAAAGTTTTTTTTTCTATCTATCTATCTATCTACCTTTTAGATCTCATAAATATGAAACGATTTGACAGATCAGTATGGCAATATACCAAACATCCCGCTGATCGCCGTTCCTATAATTACCACTGTAAGAAACTAAAGCGAGAATTAGCATTTTATGTATCCGAATCCTTTAATTAATAACTATCGTCCCTCTCTGTTCTTGACAATTCCTTTTGGAAAAGCACTAAGACAATCCTAAAACCTCACCTAATTTCCCATACCCTTTCCGCGAGATGATGGCTCCTGGGCAGCATCTGAAGAAGATAAAGCCCAGAATTTCCCCAAACATCTCTCTAATAAATTTATTCCCCATCCGGAATCCTATCTATACTGTAACAGTTGAGGAATCCCTTACTTCACCTATCCCACTCTCACTGCCTCCTAAAGTGACTCATCCTTCCGAATTGAAATTCCAATTACAAAAACTAATCCCCCGTAAATATCCTGGATATGAACCCCCCCCCCCCCTCCCGATCCTTCGACAACTTCCACCCATAGCAGTCATATTCCATACCTATATACTCACTTCCCTCTATTATGGAAACATTCTACTATTACCCTATTCCCAAAACTAGGCAAACCTCCTAACAGCTTGGCATCCTACAGACCTATTAGCCTACTCCCAATTCTTTCATAAATCTTCAAAAAAATATCCTTTAAAAAAAATCCTATGTCTGGTAAGTTAAGAGGATTTTCAAAAAAGTTTTATATTCCAGGGCTTATACATCCGTATTTCGCCTATTGATTCGTTTTTCAAAAAATATATCTTATATCAATTCTTGTGCTTTCGTTACGTATTTCGGGTGCTAGGGTTTTGAATATATATGTATTCTTAACGAAAATCATAGTTTCATTTGGAAAAGACCCATAAGAATAAATTATATTGTTTAACGGATATTGCAACTAGTGAATTTTTACTTACTACTTTTTTTGGTCGTCACGGAATAACATCGTTTACAGGTAGATACTTTTGGTTTTGTTGTGGTAGAAGAATTCGTAGGATGTGTTTTACCATTTTTGGACATGAATCCAAAAAAATGTCGATGTTGTTTTCCTGAAATTATGTTAGATATGTATAATCTCGAAATAGATCTATACCCCATTGAAAATAATACAATATTATATATGTAATAAAGGGCAGTTGGATTAATCAATCTAGATTCCTATACCGTGGTCTTTCATGGACTGCAGGCGAAATAGGAAACAAAAATCTTTCCCTGAAGCCTTACTTCCATTACCTTGACCTACGGGCTATTTTTCGATTCATAGGAAAAAAATGTTTCCAATTAAGATACATTAGAAAGGATTATGACTTATGCGCCGCAGTGTGTTTCTGAGTGTACTCATGTGAAATAATTAAAAATGCTACAAAAGTGTGAAAATAATTATTCAATTTTGTATTCACATCAGATTTGTAGAAAGAATTTTAGATTTTTTTAAAAAAAATGTTTTGTTATTATTAATTGATTAAAATTAGAAAGTAACTTCTGTACTTTGTTTATTTATCTCTTAGGCTCCTTAGCCCAAATTTCTGTCTTTTTTTATTATTCTAAAGGAGGTCGCAGAATAAATAAAGTATTATTATTATTTCTACTTTTATTCTCGCTTTGCGGAGTGAGTTTCTGAGGTGGGGGACCAGAGGTCCAGCCACCTTCATATTAATATTTATTATATGTTTAGATTTTTACAAATTTTCTAACAATATGTGCTGTATCTAAGAGAACTGAGTGTTGAGCCTCTTTCAGCACATCAAGAGGTCATTTTAAATCCATTGTGCCTGGCACTGTTGGCTTTGGTATCAGTCCATTGTATAATATTAAAATTGAAGTGGTGGTGACCCTTCCCAAATGATATAATTCCTTCAATTCGATTGCCAGTTCCTGGTATTTCTCAGAGAGCATGGATGGCAGGTCTCAATTTTTCTCCAACAGTGGAGGTTATACTAATTGGGGATCCCGACATCAATAAGCTCTGTTTTTTCTCGCTCATATCAATCAGGAGGATATCTGGTTTATTGTGGCACACAGTAAGGTCAGTCATAATAGATTCATCCCAGTAGAGCTTGAGACTACCTTTTTGGAGGAGTTTATTTTGGTGATACTTATGATATGGAGTTTTGTCATCTAATAAGTTGAGCTTCACTGGCAGAGCCTAGTGAAAAAGTTTAGTCACTTTGTTATGCATCTGGAGATACTGGGTGCCAGCTAACACTTCACACCCACCTGCGTTATGTTGGATTGATTCCAGCATTGATTATTACTATTATTTCATTATTTATTATCGTATAAAAAAGAAAAAATAATTTATAGTTTAACTACATTAAAATCAATTGAATTTTAATTATTGTCTATTTAATTATAAAATATACACCAGCGACAAACTGAAACACAGAGGCTGAAGGTGTCGCAATCCATAGGAATTTTAAACAAACCAAAAAAAAACCTTCCTTAAGTTAGTACTTTTATGAAAAATTTTGGGGGTGAAACTTTGCCTAAGAAATAATGATACAATTGGTTATTTTTTCTGGAACTGGACTTAATACACCACTAACTAGATACGTTTAATGTTATTTAGGAAAATACATATTTTTGTATATCCAACTAATTAATATCTACCATAATGTGTAATGGTATTTTTACTGACCTTTGTTGAGTTTTGACGATTTTCTGTTTGTAGAGGAAGGAGATAGTGATATAGCCACCGTGGGCTTATTGATGGCTGTCGGTTTTGTAGTATGGTTATGTTTACTAAAAAACCTTGGTGGATACGGCTTCGTTGGTCGGAGCTGATCGTTATCACCTTAAATCAAATTATTTTGTTATCTATTGTTTGCACAAATAATTTAGCTTTTTTTTTTTATTTTCCAAAGCATAATTTGACATCTTTAAGTAACAACTAATTCCTCAATCTTTTGGCAAAACGTTATACAGAATATTGAATATTTAATAGTTGACCGTTGCATTATAAAGGAAGGAGATGGTCCTGGGTTGCGGTCATAAAAAGGCTAAATAGTGGTAAAACTATTTTATTGAAAGCCAACGTTTCGACCCGACTTCGCAGGTCCTCATCAGGGCTAGAACGGACAAGATACAAAAAGATAGAGAATTGTGGCAATTACATAATATTTAGACACAATTAATAAACAATGTGAATAAGCTTATTAGAATTATAAACAGTAAGTACAATAAATGGGAATGGGCAACAGCCATTATCTGCCCAATACATAAGAAAGGAGATCAAACAGAATGTGCTAACTATCGAGGAATCTCACTCCTTTCGTGTACTTATAAGCTGCTCTCTAACATTCTTTTTGAGAGGATTCTCCCGTATTCTGAAAAGGAACTGGGGAAATATCAGGCTGGATTTCGAAGAGGACGCTTAACCACTGATCAACTGTTCTCTCTGAGGATGATCCTAGAAAAGACTATGGAGCATAAGGTAGTCACCCACCATTTATTCCTAGACTTTAAAGCAGCATACGACAGCGTTGATAGAACGCAACTATACTGTGCCTTGGAGGAGCTAAGCATCCCTCAGAAGCTCGTACGCCTAATCAAGATGACCATGGACAGCTCGAGATGTAGAATACGCGTCGGTTCTGACGACTCCGAAGAGTTTAAAGTGAGCAGTGGGGGTAGGCAAGGGGATGCCCTCGCCTGTCTATTGTTCAACTTGGCAGAGGAGAAAGCTGTAAGAGACTCCGGTATTCAGACCAACGATATAATCTTCAATCGCCTGACACAGCTTCTTGGTTTTGCTGATGATATTGACATAATAGGTAGGTCTGAACAGGCTCTCAGAGAAGCGTTTATAGGCCTTGAAGCAGCTGCAAGACCACTTGGTCTAGAAGTCAACGAGAGGAAAACTAAGTATATGAGAGTTGGTGGTGAGGTGGATCTGAACTCTCCATTTGAGGTAGGTTCTTTTAAGTTTGAGAGAGTGAAAAGTTTTATATACCTTGGGTCTGAAATTAATAGCAAAAATGACATGGCTCAAGAAATACAAAGAAGGATCACGGCTGCCAATAGATGTGTCTTTGGACTTGGCCGACACTTAAGAAGTAGGTACCTCTCAAAGAAGACCAAGCTGATCATATACAAGACTCTTGTTCGGCCTGTTTTGACATATGGCTCAGAGGCTTGGACGATGACCAAAAACGATGAGATGAAGCTGAGTGTGTTTGAGCGAGGAGTCCTCAGAAGGATTTATGGTCCAGTAAAGGAGGGTGATGTCTGGAGGAAAAGAAAAAATAGGGAGCTCAGTTCTCTCTATGCAGACATCGACGTAGTCACCTATATTAAACTGGCCAGACTAAGGTGGGCAGGGCATGTGGCCAGAATGGGCACCGTTGAGATACCCAAGAAAATAATGATGGAGGAGCTGCACCTCGCAAGACGGGTAGGAAGGCCGAGGACGAGGTGGTTGGACAACGTGGCCTATGATGCGAGAACCTTGCTTGGTGTACGGAACTGGAGAGCTGCAGCAGAAGACAGAGCCAACTGGCGGAGGCTCTTGGAGGAGGCCCAGTCTCGGTAACGGGATGTCGTGCCACACATGATGAAGTACAATAAAATATGGACTAAGTAAGCTCAGTAACAAGATCCTAAAATAAAGTAAATAGATGCTAACAATTGTTGTAGTGTAATATATAACAAATGAAAATGTGAGTATAATTCTACAAAAACTACAGGAGAAAAAAAAATAAAATTAGAGACTTACAGGTGTGTTCCTCTGGGAGTTTCACTTAGAACTGGAAAGGCAGCGGTAAGGATTGCAGGTATAGGGGGAGTTAACATGTGTTAACTAAGTAAACATTGAAAAACCCAGGAATGTACAGTACCTAGGAATTTTTGAAGATATGGATGGATACAATGGAAAAATACTATTTCTATGAAATATTAAATTATAAATATATAATGTGAGAATTAGTTAGTCGAGGGTGAGGTCAAATAAATAAAAAAAATTAAAATATATAAATTATTTTAATTTTTGCCGACGTTTCGACCCACTTTGCAGGTCGTCTTCAGGGCTACAAAAGATACAAACATGTTGAAAAAATTAAAATAAAATAAAAAATAAACATAAGTATATATAAAATACGAAGAAGTTGTCTGATACAGAAATAAAATATAAATAAAATAAATACATGATAAGAAAATAGATAAAAGAAAATAAATACATGAATGTTAACGAATAAATGAATGTTAACGAATAAATAGATTGAAAATTGAATAACTATTGTTACAGTAAAGTTAAAATATGGATAAGATAACATAATAATAAGATATCAGTGGATAACAAGCAAGTGGAGGTTACCTTTAATTGTAAATAAACAGATAGCGGGACTAAATGTTAAGAAGTGAAGAAATTGAAAGATTAATAGGGTAACATTAGTGTAATATTGTTGGGATAGATTATTAAGTATAAATAACTCTATAAGAAAACAATAATTTTAAAAGAAAAAATAAACGCATACATACATACACATACAAACACACACATATATATATATATAGATAGATAGATAGAAAAAAAAACTTTATTCTGGGACTAAGTCCCTTCAGAATAACAATAATGTACAAAATAATAGAATATTACTGGCCTGAATGTTGAAACAATAAATAAAATTGATAAAATAAAATAAAAAGTAAAGAAAACCTTAGGTGCACAAGCTATATACAATACAGATAAAACTATGTACAGAGCATTTAAAATTATGAACAAAACAATTAAAACAATGAACGAATCACTTGAACTATGAACAAAATTATATTTAAGGGTTGAACAACATAAACATAAAATTTGAGAAATGAAGAACGAAAAAGAGATACAATGAGTTCATTTCATAAAAAACAAAACAAAAAAAAAAAAAAACTTTACTTGAATATATATATAAAAATAAACAGTTACTTATAATTGAATAAAAAAAATAAAAAAAATGTATGTATTGAAATTCCTACGTCGATAGTAGGAAATGCATGTACTATCTCTTACCAAGTGTTATGATTATATGATTGCTACACAATACATATATAATATTAATCGTTAGCTGGTATCAGACTGTTTTTGGAACAGGAATTGGAATAGGAGGTTTTTGAATGTA